GGTCGTGGTGAATAATGAGAAGTGTACAGCTTAGAAAATCGCCGTACCAGCGTAGTGCTGTAGTCAATATCAACGCGCCCGTCATCTGCAAATGTAATCAGCTCCGTATCCCTCAATGGCTTGGCTGGAACCCTCCCGTGACGGTCGACGAGGAATGCATACTGGTTATTTTGATACCGCTTTTGCGGTCGGCAGCAATTGGCGTAGGGGGGACGATGACTGGATCACCTGGTAGTTCGAATACCCCGGGATGTTTGCTGCTGGCCATGGTAGGGGTCATGACTGAATCCCCCGGCAGCTCGAATACCTCCGCATTTCTGTTGCTAGCCATGGACTGAGCTGAGACGCAGCGAATGAAGGAAGACGCAGAGTAATCCACAGAATCTTAGAGTACTCGGAGGACCATGGTGTAAAGAATAAATATTTACATTTTGACTCCTCTGGAAACTATGGTAAGGGGACGGCGAGAGAGGGCCCTAAACCAGAGAAAGTGGCGTGCCTGGAACTTAGCAAGAACACATCCTTGGGTAAGGATGTGCCAATCATCATGGAGGTACCAACCCAGATATACGAAAACGAGCGGGGCCCCAAATGGACGATCGTATTGGAAAGCCGAGCTCATACCAGTGATGCTCACTGTAAGACTATTTAGCGTTGAGAAATCATGTCTCGCAGTTGTGTCATGGCCATTATCTCCGGTTGGCTGGCGGTATGATATTAGATATATCTGTAAATTCATTGTTATCGCTGGTGGGGAGCTTTCTCGTTACAGCCACACCAGTCAATTTCGACAGTTTTTGCCACTATGATAAAGCTATGGACAGGCTTTAAGAGTATCAAATGTAAGAAGCGCACACAGGTGCGAATCATCAAATTGTATTACCTGCTGAATTGGTTTGCTTTCATCGAAAATTCTACATAAAAGCTCTTATCTTCTTCCAAAGAAAGACCAAATCAGGGCAGTCCTCTGTTCGTATTCGTATAGATGGATCCCGCGGATGAATGGGTCGTGGGAGTTAAATGCCAAACCCCTATTGCAGGAGTGGGATCTCTAAATGTTTATTGATTATAATGTCTCGATAGCCTCACGCCACCAGATGATTCCTGCTGCTGTAAAAGTAGTTCCCCTGACCTTTCAAGTGGCAGGCGAAGAGTTGGTGGGAGGAGGGCGAACAACAGTGGTGGCCAATATGGGACAAGTTTCGTTCCCTAGACGTTTCTCGATAATTCGTATTCAGAGATCATGTCCGAATTCCGGAACTACAAAACCAAACAAGCTTTGTATATTGAAGGATGCCGCCATCATGTTCTCGGGCATGCTGCCATGCACCGTGGTGTCTGCCGTCACAGGGTAGTGAAGATAGTCACTTGGATCCCAAAACTCCATAATGTCATCTTGCAAGCAGACATCATTGATACTGGTGGGGTTGTTTGTTTGAGCCAACTGCTCAGAATCCTCGCTAAGATTAGAAAAGAAACTAAAATAAAAATCCCGATACTCAAGACTTACCTGGAAAGCTAATGTAGATTCAACGTTAGAGGAGCCTATTTCGCACGGTCCTGCACCTCTTTCCTCATCTTCCCTTTCCTGCACCTCTGCCTCTTCTTGTTGCTGGTGCTGTGGTTGGTTTCTGCCATAATCCCTGATATACTGTCTTGCGATGTGAGCGAATTCGGTCAGAAGTGACGCGGGCACAAAACCCCCAGACTTGTATTCCAGTAGACTAAAATGCCCAGCTGCGACATCCAACAGTGAGAGATTGTTGGGGGTTTCTGGATGCATCGGGTTGTGGATGACAAAGTCAAATAGAATGAATAATGCTCCAAGTGGTAGTGTGGCCAGAATGCTGTCTCAAAAGTTAGCCTTTCGCACAGCGACCACGTTGATATCACTTGACTCAGCCTGAAAAGAGGTGTTCTTGCTTACAAAAGCGGCGTATAGGCAGCTATGTCGATATTCTTGCTTTCCTCCACAACGGCTCTTGCTGTATCCATCAGCAGTCGCCTGTTCTTCTCCTGCGATGGAGACTGATCTTGTCGACCTATATAAACCTTAAGTCTTGCCAGGGCGATGATCAAACCATAGTACGAGAACTTGGTTTGGAGTACAACCGTCTTGAAACTCGGCTGAATGAAGGAAGATGAAGAACAGGGGGCCACGTGCGGCTTATGAGACTGAGACAGCCTACCAGGACGATAGTGCTCTGGTAGTGCGGATCGCCATCGCTCCAACCGAGCTTCAATATTCTGGATCGCCGCATAATACGACTCTGGAGGTTGGATTGCAGCACTCACTGAAAAGAGGGAAGTATATGCAAGTGAGAGAATTCGCCCGAAGCTGATGGCCGATAAGAACCAGTTATGCCCTTCAAAGACGGATTCTGGGACATCGGGGACAGGACAGCCGATGTCATGGTCGGGAATCATCTGGTATGAGATAAGTCGATGCTCACTCCGCCTGTCCCAAAATGAAGCCAAGAGTTTGATATTATAATATTTGGCCACGTACCGAGCCTTTATGGTTCTGAAAGCACATTCCCTTCTCCATGTAGTAGATTACCCAGAAGGTCCTATGACAGGTGTCTTTGTACCGCTGGTCCCCGTTGCTCAGTGCTCGATGGTATCCAAGGCTTTGAGCCATTCGGGCAGCTTCCATCAGCAAGATTTCGTCGATCTGAAGACAGCAAGTAGTCGTGGCGAAGATTGACTAGATAGATCGAATCAATGAATCAGTTACTCCCAGGCTTTTTATATCATTTGTCCTCTTTCGGCGCGGGGTATTTCTCATCTCAGTGACATCGCCTTACCATGGCAACCAAAGCCTAATTCAATCTTATCAATTAAGTCCACTCTATTGCCACAATATTGACGTACTTGAAGACTCATTAAGGCCTCCCTGGGAATCAATATATCCGACACGAGACCCAAAGAAACTTGGAAAAGCTTCCACGCCCTGCCATTACCTGGGTCAAAGGCCCCGCCTTCATGGTACTGGCATCCTAGAGCCAATATTGTGTGATACAGAGCGGAGAAAGCACAGCTGGATGCCAGAGTTTCAGACAGGTTGGGCCCGAACACCTTATCCTCGAACTTTTGACGATCGAGGAAAGGGTAAATCGGATGCAGTTGGTGGAAGTAAGCTGTGCAGTTGAGACACCAGTTTGTTAATGAAGGAAGAGAAGGCTAAACTGGGGTATACGTGGAAGGACACCAAAGAAGACCAAATGAGAAAGGGGAAACACACTATTGACGTAGAGCCTGACATTTTCCAGCGAAACGTCCTCTGTATCAGACGGCTTTCCAAAAGTGATGTGTGAAATCGAGGATGGACCCTCGGCAAGAAGCCGCGATCGAATGACGGATTCGATGTTCTCTACCAGCTCCCTGAGTCGGTCATTGCCCAACCGGTGCGACAGAGAGTTTATTCGGTGCTCCGTGAAGAAGGCAAGACTGGAACTAGTCACTTGAAGAAAGAGACTCAGAGAGGCTGTGAATGAACCATAGAATACAGCGGCAGCATACCATCATGATCGGACGCCTGGGAATAATAGTCAGTTCAAACTCTACAGAGATGGTACTCCGTAACTGACCCTTAGCAAAGCAAAATTATCCCTCAGAATGCTACTGCGACCTTTATTTTCCAATATCTGGTCCAGAAACAGAGATGAAAGAGTCGGTTGAATGCAGGCTTTTTCGGCCCAGGTGTTGACGAGCGGTATGTGGTGTCGACTGGTTGTATGATTCCCTTGGTCTTTTAGCGCCCAGATTATGCATGTGCAAGAGACGAGAAATAGAACTGGCGAATACATACTGCTGGTTTGTGGTGCTTTTGACCTCAGCTTACGTTTGGTCTGGGTGAAATGACAGGTCTCGTTGCGTTTCTAGATCGATAACCCCTATTAGGACCATCGGACCAATGAAGATATTCGCTTGAATGATCAATGAACATCTTACGATACAGTGGATGCATCTCGAGCGTTGCTGGGGATCCACTAGAATCGAAATTATTATATTCCACTTGTTCCCCAGAGCAAGAGGGTTCGGAGGACAACATACTAATGCAGCGAACTTTCCGGTTCCTGCACTGGTCACAGGCTTTGCAGGTCTTCGCCTCGGTCAATCGGCCCTTTTTCTGATCGGTCGCCATTTCGGGCGATGAAGATTCCCGCAAACTGGAAGGCGCTCGGCTGTGGGTGAGCTGCTCGGACATTATGCTATCGTATCTGGCATCATAATCTCGGGGTGACAAGTAGAGAAGAGGAAGGGAGTCGGTGTTGGGTTTCCTTAAAATAAAGTCTCGGTCTTCGGCGAGACACACTGCGCCACGACACTAGGGTTCCTTCGGAAGCTTCACTCCGCCTACCGAAACCACAGAAACAGCCTGCACACAGTTGCCTTCCCTCAGCCTTGAAGCTGAACTATCCGGATATTATCTGAAGTTGCCATGATTCCCCACTTCGAAGCAAGGATATGGTGTGTCTGCCGCTGTGACTATATACATATAAAAGTCCGGGTTCCTTTTCAAGAATTGATATCAGAACTTGTATTTTCTGCCAATGCCAGGATGAGCATTTGGTACAATTTACTCTCATCGCAATCATCCGGTAGATCTGGAAGAGACATTCATGAAAGATCTAATGGGCGTGTGGCCGAGCAGGGAAGGAGGAATTATCAACTCGAGCGAGAAGGTACTAACCTGGTGTCTATGATGCATACGGCTTCAATACCTGTACTCTCGAGTACAACAACATACAGCTCTTATTTTTACACTTCATGAAAGGATTATTCTGAAACAATCCCCACTATAAACGGACCCATGAACATGTCTGAATCGTGAGCCGTCCTCTCGGGGTCCGGACAACAACTTCAGATCATGCTTTCTTCCTTCATAGCTCGGCGCTCGGGGCTTGGCTTCCCAGCGGCCTATAGTATAATATGCACCAAACGCAACTTTGCATCAACGAGAAGAGAAGAGAAGATATAATTTTCAAATCAGCTCATCTATGCTCAATAATACATAGCATATTGAACCCATTACATCAAACCATGACACCCCATCTTACCCTACATCGCGTGACCACCCTGAAAGACCTAGAACCACTATACCACATCGGAGCAGATGCCTTCCGCGATGATCCAGGCATGAACTGGTTCTACCCTGGCGGTCGCGAACATCCCGAAGATTTCATCGTGGCATGGAAATATCTTCTACTGCAGGAGTTCTACGACAAGGGGAAATATATCCTTGCTGCCTCGATCCCGGATCCAGATCAGGATGATACTAGTATTCGCGTTGAGAGACGGCCGGGGAAAGTTGTAGGGTTTGCTGTTTGGGAACGGAGGGGGGATTCTGAGGCCGCGAAGAGTTGGCAGGGGGGTGGGGTTCTTAAGGGTGTGTATCATTGCTTTGGATGTTTGTTACTATGTTATGCTCTAAAACTAATGCCTACATGTGTCCAACCAGGTCTCAAAAGAATCCTGCTCAACTGGAAGATCATTTATACATTCTGTTTCGATACACCACGCCGATCATTATCCTGGTCCAGACTGAGGCATTTCGGCCATGAGCTCGAGGCAGCTAAGGCTAATCAACCGAGCGAGTCGTGGTATCTGAGCAATCTGGCCGTTAGCTCAACGGCTCAAGGGCAAGGGGTGGGAAAGAAACTCCTGCAATGGGGAATCGATCGATCCGAGGAAGAGGGTATCCCGGCTACATTGGTGTCCACTGACGCTGGGCTTGCTCTGTATACGAGTAGGGGGTTTAGAAATTCTGGCTGGTTGTTCTTTGATGATGGACGACAGAAACAGACCGTTATGAGGAGGAATGTGATGTATGTGAGATTGGAATAGAACTAAGTGGAATAGTTGTATTTCTTCGGTTCGGATTACTTTACGATCCTTTCATTGGATCTTGTATTTATTATTTTGTATATATTTGTTGTTAGACTATATCTGATAGTGACAGTGGGTAGGTACAAACTTTGTCACTAAATGACATCGGTGTAAGGATGTCTCTTTTGGGGAAACTTCAAAACAAGACTGTAAGCCATAATTACCCGCAGATACCTGCAGGCCCTTAGAATCCCACATATGCACACTGAGTCGACTCGTTCTATGTCCGACCCTCTAATCAACAAATAATAATTTGCAGAGATATTCTATTCGTCTATGCGTTTTGCTCGTGGTCGCATCACAGCTAGGCGCAAACCCAGCCACGTCTATAGTAGGTCTATTTCTCGCATCAGGCCGGTAGGCCTCTCCTCTCTTTCCTCTCCTCCGGACATATCTCAGTAGACCCGTATCGGGCCGGTGTTTTAGTTCGGACAACTTCAATAAGTCACCCGGAGACCCGCAGCCTAGACAGCCACGGCTAATCAGTAAACCAGGGGGGACCGGAAGTGTAGGCGATATCCGAGAACCAGAAGCAAACTTGGCTTACTTCTTAATTCCAATGACAGCCAAGTTTCTCGGACTCTCCTTATACTCAAACACCGGCTCAACCCAGCACTCCTTCACGGAGTCGTGTTCCCGCAGGAATTGCCATCTGTCAACGACGATGATGGCCTCCACCAGAGCAGCACTGAAAGCCATCAAGCTCCAGACCACGCTTAGGTTCTTTTTCGCATACCAATAATCCTTCACGTAGCGATCGAAATCTTCCTCGGTCAGATCTGCCATGCCTGCCTTGACCTTCTCGCCGAAGTTCGGGTCGCGACCCAGCTTCGTCACCGCAGCATTGGCATACGCGGAAAAGGAAACAAAGGCCGATTTCCGCAGGGACCCTACAATCAGAGGGTTTCCGGCATCTTCAGGTTCGGTGGACTCGTTATACAGATTGTCTGAATTGTCTGGGTTCTTTGGCTTCGCAACCACCTTGCGATCCACAAGCATGCGCTGGAGCAGACTCCGATAGAAGTGGCGGGTGAAGAAGTCTTCGCTGTCTTTCTTGCTCCAGTTGTACGGGGCCTGTAGGGACATGGAGCGAGCGGTGATGTTAAGCTTCATGCCTGTTCCACTTTCATGCTCGTAAACCTCGAAACGTTTCGACATCGGGAAGCCATGAGGGTCGTATGCCACGGCATCCTTTGTCAGACGGGGATGCATCGACCGGAGAATGGGAAGCTTGTAGGTAGCAGGACCCAGTCTCTCAGTGACCAGATTGTAGCAACATCCGATCATAGCAATGGCTTTGACGGAAGGATTCAAGGTCAGAGACCGTACTCCGTGATGAAGAAGGTTACCGCAAGAATGTAGAGAGATGACCATGACGTTAGCATCCTTTGATCCGCCTTGAGCTTCAGTCTCCCCTTCGACGGGCTCAGTCTCGATGACGTCTTTGATGATGGGCTCGAGGTAACCGTCCTTGATCTCATGCTCGATGTAGTCCATTTTACCTCGAGGTTTCTCCGGATCGACTTCCTCTTCGGTGGCAGTTTTCGGGACATTGCGGTAAGGAGCGAACCCAATCTCGCCAGGTGCGAGACTGATATCACGGAAGACGTTAATCATAGCCATATCCTCTTCACCACCTGCCGCATCGCTTGGGCCCTCTGTAGCATCCACCTTCAGATTGGCGGATTCTTGACGATCGGCATCCGTCTCTGCAGGCGCATCCGGTTCTGCACAAGTCTTGCAGTTGACCAATTTCTTATTGTACATATTGACGCGTTTCTTCTCCTGCAGCTTCGCATGAATATCCATCCCCTTCGCGCCGCTGATGAACTGATGCTTCCGCTCAATGGCAACGATGTGTCTGTTGTAGGGAGCACACGCCAGCGTCCGTCCGAGGTAGCTCTGGCCTGAACCAAAATCGACAATGTGTGTGATCGGATCGCCCCGTTGTTCATCCACCGTGGCACAGAGGGCATCAACGTATTTCGAAAAGTGCGCGACCTCGTGATACTTCTTGACATTCATGCCAACCGCTATCTTCCTCGGGATCGTCGGTGTTCCGGGCTGCGAGGGGGTGAACTCCCGCCCCAGACTCAGTCGACGGATCTGATGGATATACTCCAATAGGTCCAAGGGAGGCAGAGGCGCCCCGCGCCACTGGGCGGTTGACTCGCCGCCACGCGCAGCAGCCTCCCGACCCTGGTCTAACAGAGGTCGGATGTCATCCCGCAGAAGCAGGTCCAGAATGTCTTGAATATCATGTTGGTCGAAAAAGGTCCTCCAGTGTTCCGGCAACAGCGAGGTATACAGGTCAGGTTCTCGGGTCAGGAAATCGAGGATGTGTACACCGCCGCAAAGATGCCTGAAGATGGCGGAAGAATTGGCGAAAGACAGGAGGGCCTCGACGTAGGCATCCGGATCCGTCCACTCTTCGGCGAGTGGGAGGGGTTGCGACGGAATCATGCGTCAGGTGCGATTGCAGCGAAATCGGGCTAGACTGGGATGGATATGCAGGATGACATCCGAACCGGATTCAGGGATTGTGAAGATGTCTGACGGGGGAGTCCAATGGGCGAAAAGGACAATGCGGGGGGGATGAAAAGACAGACAGAACAAACAAGAAAAAGTAATGGGAAGGAGAGGGAGAGAGGGAGGGAGAGAGAGATGTGGTGGGGTGATTTGCTATCGATATACACGACCCCGAAATTTTTCGAGGGGCGATCGATAGCGAAAAGGCGGATGTGGTTTAGCCGTGACGGTCGGACCCACCGATTAATTCCATCATTAAAGATGGAACGGAGTCTCCGGGTCGGGAGATGCGGAGATGGAGGAGGGATCCAAACTCGACTCATCAATCATCACCACCAACGTTCATTGAACTTCCTGACCCTCCTCTCTCTCCTTTCTCCCCTATCTATTGGTCCCTGACATTCTGACAGCAATACTATCTCGTTAGCGTGTCTGACGGTGCTCCCTCCCTGCTGAACCCCTGGCGACCACTCAAAAGGGCACTATTGAAACTATCAGGGCTAGTGAGTCCTGGAAAGCCGCTGATCGCATGCTTGACCATACATCGACCCTCCATGTGTCTTCTGCGACACCCAGCAAAGACGCTAGTTCGTCCTGTTCATCGTGCTACGTGTGACTTTGGACCCTTTTGAGAATCCAGAGTTTGTGGCAAGGCAAACAGCAAAGTCGGGCTGGTGCTGGCAACCCCATTTCCCTGTCTCTACTATTCTCTCTCTCTTTCTTTCTGTCTGCCTCTGTCTCCTCCAATCCCCTTCCACCCGTAGTCCCTAAATCGCCTGATACCTTGAAACGTGGTCAAGACTTGTCATCATCATTCAAGCCCAGTCCACCCCAGAAATGGTACCACGTATTATATAAGAAAGGTGACCAGTCAGCTTACTGTCATTCGGTTGCTGCATTCTGCATCCTGCGTACTCAGCCCTCCGGTATGCACCACTGCAGCCAAGCGCCCAACTGATAATCTGCCAACGCGTCACACCGTCTACGCTTCATATCAGCCAAACGGCAATATTTCCCCTTACTGCCAAGAAAAAGAAACAGCGAATCCCTCGGGCCCCGTTATTAAAGAAGGCGATGTCACGCCGGGCCCTCTAGATCCTGTACCACTCAAAAGGGTACATTTCAAGTGCCGCTTCAACGGTAAGTCGGGATGATCTTCCGGAACAAGACGATACACAGCCAAGCTCCTCCTCCACAAATGCGCAAGAGACGTCCTATACTGATCCGCCTCCTCAAGCAGATGTTGACCTCATCTCCGAGGCGGGAAGCCCTTCCCTTCGGCTTCGTCGCCGATGTGCTCTTTCAGATCATCATCAATGGCGAGGTGAACACCATCTTGACGCTCTGCCGGTTGAACCGCGCCACATACGAGACCATCAAGATGTTGGAGCCGCATATTTGTGGCTGGTTCATGCGCTTCCATGCGATGGAATTTGACCCCATTCTTACCCTTAACCCGTGGACGGGAGAGCAGAGCACACTAACTGTGCACTCCCTCGTAAGGTTCTTCCAGCGCCACAACATCGCCAAGGACTTATCGCGACATATTGTACCGTCAGTGTGGGGTCCTTTCTGCGATGACGGAACTCCAGAGATGAACTTTGAAGCGGAGTTACGCCTTGCCAACCGGTTGGAACGAGGGTTACACGTCCTCTTTCACATGGCCGACATTGCGCGTGACACCGAAAGGCTGAAGCCTAGCAGGAAGCCACTGGCCCCTGTTGTCAGTGGACGTCTCTTCGTGCTCGGCAAGATGTTGGACGAGTATGATGAGCTTCCCCAGCACAGGAAACAGTTGATGTCATTCGAAGAGTACACCAACCACGTCTATACGGTTCTAAAGTGGGGATATGTGGAGGCCGATATTGGCCGCAGGCGGCTAGAGTTCCGGGGATGGCTTGACGAACAGACCGAGATTGATTTTCACGCGTCTCTGCGAATGTTGCGCGAGCTAATGGAGCGCATGCTTCTCCGCCATGGCCCCAAGGACTGGCACCGCGACGCCAAGAACGAATATAGCGTCATATCCTGGTTTCTCCTGAAACAACCGCCACGGTCACTGGCGAAGCTGTTCTTGAGTCCTCAGAACGACTGCTGCGATCTTGATGTGAAAGCTACTGATTGCGGTGTTAGGAAGTGCCATTTCTCAGACCCGCTCGACAACTACTGGAAAGCCTGGAAGAATGTGCCCGACCTAGGCTGCCAGGATTGTGACTGCAAGCGACGAGTCAGAAGTTGGAGCATCAAGCCTGCACTCATTGATGCCCGAGGAAGAGAGTTTAATCGTGCTGCAGAGCGATACCTGAGGGAGATGTGGAGTCAGCGACACGTCGGTCTCCATCGTGCTTTTACCATGGGCGTTTTCACCACAGTTATTGGATGAGCTGGGATCATTCTGTCATATTATTCTTATCTGGACGAACTTGGAAGAGAACAAGAATGTCATCATTATTTACTACACAGTAAGACAAGAGGCCCATCTAGACATTCTAGATAGAGCTTCGATATGGCTCCACGCCGCCTTCTTCACCGCCCGCAACCCCGGGCCTCCGTAGTAACCGGCTCCGGATCATCTGAACCCAACCCAATCAACAGCACTATCGCCGTTATTCCCAACCACCAAGCATCTCTGGAAGCGTTGTTTGCCCCATTGTAACTATCTCATGATCTTCCCCTAGCATATACCCAACTACCCAACAACCATGGACCACACAGACCCCTTCCTCCAAGTCCAAGCGTAAGTTTCTCTCCCCCTTATTCATCCATCCCATCTACAACCCATCAAGCCAGGAAGCTGACGTAGCACCAATGCCAACAGCGACGTCCTCTCAACCCTCCAATCTACACGACCTCTCTTCTCCTCCTATCTCCGCATTCGCTCCCTCGCAAAATCGCCCAATAACCCGGAGCTCCAACAAGCGCGCTCCGAGCTCGAGACCACCCTCACCGATCTAACCGCGGACCTCGACGATCTAGTCGAGAGTGTGCGTGCAATCGAGCAAGATCCATATCGATTCGGTCTAGAACTGGAAGAAGTGCAGCGCCGACGAATTCTCGTTAATGATGTCGGTGCCGAGGTCGAGAAGATGAGGGAGGAGTTGCAGAGGACGGTTACGGCTTCGAGTGGTGGGAAGGGCACGACTGGTGCGCTGCCGAACCCGGCTGACTTCGATAATGTCTTGTCGCCGTCGGCGGAGGATCAGGGAGATGATTACTACGCTGCGATGGAGCAGCAGCGACAGATGGAGTTGATGCACGAGCAAGATGAGCAGTTGGATGGGGTGTTTCGCACCGTGGGGAACCTGCGACAGCAGGCTGATGATATGGGGAGGGAGTTGGAGGAACAGGGGGTCATGATAGATGAGGTGGATACGTTGGCCGACCGAGTGGGCGGCAAGTTGCAGAATGGCATGTCGAGGCTGAAATACATCATACGGAAAAATGAGGGTAAGTGGGTTCCACTCTGACATTTTTACATTGTGCCTTTTCGGAAGAAAACGTTGGCTGATTATCAATTAGATACAATGTCATCCTTTTGCATTGCCGTCCTCATATTCGTTTTGGTCCTCCTCCTCATCCTGCTCGTTGTTCTTTAAGACATGGAAACATATGGTTACAACTGCGTTATTCAAGACAAGACACGGCGGAATATTTAGACCTTGGTCTTCTTGCGGGGACGGTCGTTCTCGTCCTCCTCCTCGTCTCCCGAGATATCAAGCTCACTGTCGTCAAAGTCGACCTCCTCGATGTCCTGATCCGTGACTGGAAGGAGGTCAGCTTGGATTTCTTACAGGATATGGAAATCACTCACCATAGTACTTCAGGGCGTTGGGCCAGAGGTCCTCAGCGATCGCAATAGCGAGCTCCTCACCACCAGGGAAGACCTCAATGTCATCGAACTCATCCTCAATGTCGTCATCCTCGTCATCATCCTCCTCATCATTCTCGCCCTCAACAGGCTCGCCCTTGAGGAGCTTCTCAAACCTCTCGTTGTCCTCCTTGGTCGCGGTCTCAGACTGCTCAGCAGTGACATCGCTGCCACGGTAGCCGAAGAAAGCGAAGAAGCTCATACCACCGGGGCCATCCTCGGGAAGCTCATCCTCATCATCACCCATCTCCTGGTCCTCAGCAGCCTCGATCTCGTCCTTCTTCTCGAGGACCTTGGTGAACTCAGGCAGCTTCTTGCGGTCTCCGCCCTTCTTCTCCGCCTCAGCCAGGTCGCAAGCAGCGTCCAGCAGACCCTTGGTAGGGTCCTGGTCCTTCTTCCAGTTGATGCGGACGGGCTCAGAGACCAGACCGTCCCAAGTGCGCTTGTGACCCTTAGGGGCAGTGATGACCTGCTTGCGCCAGTAGAAGGTCTTGACGAGCTTCTCGTTCTCAAAGTAAGGGTTCTCGTCGCCGGTACGGAACTCGAAAGTCAAGCGGAAGCTGCGGGGCTCGCCCTGGCCCTTCTCATCGATCTCGAAACGCTCAACAGTCAGATTCTTCAGAGTCGAAGCGAGAATCGTAGCATCGGTCATGGTGATGTATTCCTCGACCTCGGCGGGCGCATTGAGCATGACACGAGTCCAGAAGGTATCGCGCAAATCCGGCTCGGCGATGACCTGGGTGCGCTTTTCGAACAGAGGACGAAGGAGGAGAGTAGACTGGCGCACTATATACCCATTATTTAGATTAGATCCTATCACCGAATAAACAATAACAACCAACCCCAAAGAAAACAAAGAAAACAAAAATAAAAGAAATGGGAATAGAAAGAACATACACTGCTCCACCTCGGCCCTAGCAAACTGCTCCTCAATCAAAGAAATCTTCTTCGCCGTCTCCTTGCTCACCTCGGGGCGCTGAATGCGCTCCAACAGCGACGTGTTAGCTTGTTGTTCCTCAGCAGACATAATGATGAGCTGTATCTTTTTTATCCAATTGAATGATGAAGAAAATAAGAAAAGGGGGGGTATATAATTGAAAGTATATTTGAAATCCCAAAAGTAAATTGGAGAGTGGGTATATATATATAGGTAGGAAGAGAGGAAAAAAATTTCTGATCGTTTCAAAAAAGTTTACTGGTTGGTTGGTTACTGCGCGTAGTAGTACCTAGTAGCACTAAGTTACTATGGTCAGTCAGCGCGCGGGCGCGGGCGCGGCTGAGACGGGCGGAAGTTGCCTACGTACTTACGTAGTTGGTTAATTACTTAGCTTTTCCTCCGTAGGTAGTTAGTTCAGGGGAGAGGGGGGGTTAATTGTGCTGTGCTGTGCTGTGCTGTTGCTTATGCTCTGCTTACTGTATGGCTGGCTAGGCTAGGCTGGTTTGGGTAGGTTGCACGGGAAGGTACTCCGTAGGTACCTAAGCTGTTAATTTAACTGAATTGGGGTTAGTTACTTCTGTAGCATTAGGATTAGTAAGAGGGGGGTGGATGGTTCCGGAGAATAACTGACTAGTAGTAGTGTTCTACTTACCAGTTGGTTAAACAGATGTATGGAAGGCAGGATTACTAGTATTTACTCGATCTAGTAGGAAAAGGGTTGGAAGGATGGTGGGATGATCCGTAATGTGTAGTAGTAGTAGGCAGCATGTCAATTGATTCGAGTAATAGATGATGATAAGTAGGTAGGTAGGTAGCACGGAGGTCTCCGAATGCTGCGTTTCCCCTACGGAGTCATGGAGCAGTACTCCCGTCCCCTCCCCGCCAACGATAGGGAAAGGCTGACTGACAAGTGACCATCTCATCAATAGTAGCAAACAATGTAAGACATTATACTACTCCTCTAATACTTGCGTCAGGTGCTTACACTACTCACTCCATATTTGGCAATAACTGCCACAAAATCTGCACTACACTTATCTTACACCATACATTAATCTCCCCACTATGATAGCAGTCAATAACGTTATCATCAACCACACTTACCTACCTACCTACCTACCTCCACAGGAAGAGAATGTTCCAGTCCACCCACACCTCCTGCACTAGACTAACCCACGCCACAACAGGGATCGATCTAAGCCCAGCTCCGCTTCGGGCGGGTTTTCCCCAGCAACTTTAAGCCCAGCAAGACTCGTTGCTTTTTCCGGGAGATCTGCTTATCGGTGGCGAAAAACAGGCTGGGGGTGCGGGTTAGCTTCGTTCGGGGTATAGTTTAGTATGTAGTTTAATTTCAAGGCGGGTTTGGAGGTGCTGCTTGTTGTGATTTATACTCCATGGAAGGAATTTCGAGGTCGATCGAAGTTGTGTATCTGAAAAGATGATGCTGGCAATTCAATTGCATCAGTCAAGTCAGGGGTTAGTGACCGCAATGAAAACGACAAGTAGCATGTCTGGCGGACTGAGAATGAGCTTAGTCCATTCCAAATATTAGCTTTGCTATCTACCCAAGTCACCATGGGTCTTGAGTATCAATCCAGCCAGTCAATCAATCAATCAATCAAGCAAATCACATCCCTTCATCAGGATACTCAATCAAACAAACAAACAGCCGCCGGTGCGATCATCACACCCGAGGGGAATAATCGGCAAACACATAAATGCAGATCACTTGAAATGCATAGTGAAGAAGTGAAAGAAAAGAAAATGAAAAAAAGAGACAGAAACAGAAGCGTAACAAATAGTCAAAATAAACTTTTGGCGGATTGGCCTCCAATCCGACATGTCCATCATCATGCCTGCAAAATTCGTAACGTGCGTTTCAACCAGCAACCCATTAATATAGAAACTTTTTTCCGCGGTGGGATGAGATGAGATGAAATGGGCCCCATCATGACAACCACTCCTGCGTCTTCGTCTTTCCCATTATGGTATAATTTTTCCGTCTCCCAAAGATAAGACCCAGGCCAGTTCGCCAGTAATGCATGAAATGAAAAACTCAGAAATGAAAAGAAAATTGAAGGGAAACCAGAGATGAACGCAGCGGTGGGAGTGAGGGACAAGACAACCGGCCGGTTTCGGCTTGCGCTCAGACAGTCGATGTAACCTCTTTATCGAGCCAATCGCGCCCATCGCTGAATCGACCTTGCGGCTGCCCTCCCCATCGCTCACCGAAATGCAACACAGCACGTCAGATCGCGCCATCACAACATCCAGTCCAGCCCGTTCGCTTCCTCTTCCACGGGGAAGACTTCGCGCGCGTATTCCTCCATGTCTCGCCAGCCCTGCCACAGGTGCCGGGCCTCATCCGTAACACGCAATGATATGACCCCTCCGGGACCCTGCATCATTCCCGCACCCGCACCTTTGCCATTGGCTGGGCCCAGGCCCTTCGGCGACCCGGCCGCAGGGCGGGAGAATTCGGGCTGCGGGAAGTAGGGTGCATCGCACTGTCCAAACACCACCTCAATGGCCTCCAATTGTTCCCGATAGCCGGGCGGGATGTTGACCTTGACTTCGACCTTGGGCACGCGAACGTAGCGGCATGGGCGACCGAGAGCGCGCGAAAATGCCGCACAGACCTGGTTCGGGGAGAGCGTCTCGAATGTGAGGGCGATCCTACGATAAATCAGCTATCAGCTCCATGTCCCCCTCCGATGAATGACCGAGAGAAACCTACCGATGACCATTCCACTTCTTGGGCCCATCCTTGAAGATCTGCAGCAGCGCCGGTCCCACATCATGCTCAGCATCCAGCCACGGGAGAGGAATATCCGGGTCGAAAGGTGCGTGCCATTCAAAGCTTCCGTCCTGCATCAGCTCCATCTGGAAGAGGGGGTATGGTAGACTCGTAAAGTTGTTGTTGTAGATTCCGGCGTAGACGAAGGTCGAGGGCAGACCGAGTTGACGAATGTAATTCTCCACGGTGAACTTGGGAGCCCAAAGGGGCACCGGAGGCCAAGGTCCATGCACAGAGTGGTCGGGCATACTGCTATAGACGTAGTGTTGAATGGTTCCTGCTCGCTTGGCGGCATCGGCCAAGGCGCGTCCGATCGCGACTTCGTCGCCAGACTGGGAGGTAGTGTTGATGAACGCAAGATTAGCCCCTTGGAACAGGGAATCCATCAGCTCTGTGTTGCCCAGAAGAGGGCCCTGGAAGAGAGTGACATTTGGCAGGGTTTGTAATTCCTCCGCGATGAGGCCTTTGAGCGAATGGATCTGAGCGCGAACATGGTGGCCCACTGCCGAAGCGACACGGATCAGAGACGCCGCCTGGCGACCCGTAGCGTTCACCACGGCAATGGTCTTTCTTTGTTGTGTCATGAGTTATTGTGGGAGGGGGGATGTAGTGTGAATGCGGGTGCAAGAGATAATTCTCCGCGGTAGGAGAAGAATATAGTAGAGGAGGGGGAGATTTTAAAAAGTAAAAAAAAGATGAAGAAAAAAGTATGCGGGGTAAAAGTAAAGCAGGGGAGGAAAAATGACCAGCGGACGAACACGAAGTAAGTCTAAGTCGGGCAGTCGAGCAGATCTGGAGTCGGGTCAGGTGGCCTCCCAGAATGGGAAATTGAGTCAATGCGAGACCGATTTATTGCCAACTAGTGGTTTTGTGGAGGTTGAAGAGGCAGCAGGTGTGATCGTGTGTTGCAGTTGTCGAGAGAATTTCTTGAGAAGTAGTACGAATACCAGTTGCTGTGCTAGACTGCTAGTGGTGGTACCTTGACGAATGGAACAGTGGGGTAGTAGACGGAGCAGTTGGCGGAGGCGCGCACGAGGGACGGAGAGTTATATAGCTCAGTGGGATAAGATTGCTTGGGGAGACAGTTGATTTGACAATGCCGCAATCGAAGATTTCAATGGTGCAAGACGATGACCGGTCAGGCAGCTGTTGTTTGTTGCAGCTGTTGCTGTGGTTCAAAAGAAAGCCGCGGGACACTAGTACTACTTGTACAAAAAAATAAGAATCCCACCACCGAGAAAAAAAAAAGATCGATGATGTTGGAGACAACGGCGGATGATGAGATATTAGGTGCTCCAACTCCAGACCGACACAGCCGGGCTGCTCGCCAAAAGCCAGGTTTTTGTTAGTTAATGCAAAGCAGCGCCTCCTCCGTTGCAGGCACGGATCTCCCTCGTCGAGAGGATAATATGAATAATAAGAATCACCGAATGCTCCAACGAGGCCGAACAAGTGGACACCCCCCAGAGCCGGTCTGGCGCACCAGGCAAGGAAATGACCTCACACAAACTGAAGTTTTTTCAGTCCAAATGCACCAGAAATAAAATAATAAAAATATAAATAAAATTAACACAGCAAAAGCAAAGATCAGTAATAGTCTGTTAATTAATTTCGCTGCAGTTTAAATCGGAATATGGCGAAACTGGCGGGAAAAATAAAATAATAAAAATTCGACAAAAAAAAGAGCCGTGGATCAGGTCTAGTGCTTGGTTCCGAGATTCGCACCCACAATGACCCTAATCAGCCCTGTTGGTCAGGGGAGACTGCACAAGCTTTATCAGATTGGGGGAGAGGATGGTGTTGAAATACAATTAACGAAGGTGTCAAAGGGAAGACGCAGTGACTACGTAGGAGGTAAGGCCTTATAAAAGGAAGAAGCTGGTCTATGAACCGAAATAGAAACCTTCTCCCCCTTTCTAGGAACAAGTCGGTGTGCTCGCTGCCCACGTATCTAGGGGGGCCTGGAAGCGACGTTGTAGAGAAAGAAAGAAAAGGAAGTAACTGCGGTCTGTGTGCTGCGGCAACGGGGACCCGATGAGCCCACGACGACTATCGGCTGGTCTGGATTGGGATCGTCTGGGGTTTGCATCTAATATGGGAGGTGGTACCCATGAGTGAATTTCTTGACTCCTCCCACCAAGTCCCCGTCCGCTGGGAAAATCCTGGCCAGAAAAGCTGCCCCGGTCCCATGATGTGATGGGGAAGCCTTCCGATGTGCTTTCCGAGCGGGTTTATATCGAGTAATGCGAAACAGTCATAGAATGGAAAGCCATTTGATTGAACGGTGTCAGGCGGAATTGCAAACTCTGGATGGCTGACGCGATTCCAAGGTACTCGGCCCTCTGTTCCTGAGGGTACGCTTCTCTAGATTTCGCTGCCATCTTCCATTGCGTGGTTGGTCTTGCACCATTCGTTCCAAAGCCGGGGATGACAGGCCAGCTCGGCAGATGAGGCAACTAGAGCAGCAGCCCTGACAGGAAAACGGGACCTTGTTGGATGTTGCTAGAAGTGCCCACGATGTCCTCGATGTTGAAGTGACCATTGACCTTCTTTCCTTTACGTAACTCGGATGCAGTTCAGGGGTGGCTGGAAGGGGAGCTGAACGGACCAGCCAAATCCACCATCATCATCATGATACATAGAAGAACTAGTAGTATGGCATCACGAGGATGTCGTAATATGATTCAATCTGAGAATAGTGTCTATTGTAGGGTGCAATCTCAACCCATGGGATATCCTCTATATCGGAAGGTAGTATAGGGATGCAATGCACCTTCCAACATTAACGGTTCCAGCTAAACTAGTAGTAGAGATTCTTCATGATTGCTGAATTTGGGTAGCAAGAAAAAGCAAAGTGCATTCTATCAAAGAATGTCCGATCCCGGCAAGTCCCAGCCAATGATAGCCAATGAAGAGTGTGGGCGGGGAAATAGCGGCCTCCCACTGATCGACTTCGGGGGACAGCCACCGATTCTGAGGCAATCCTCTACAGCAGTCCAGACGTTATACTTCTATCTTTCTTTCCACTTACCTACAGTGTCGGTTCCTGAATTTTTTTTTCCATGTATCTATATCTCGTTTTCGATTCTCTTTCTTCCTCTTTCTCTTTCTTCCGCCAACATTAAACCAGTCCGTTTGTCATGAAATATAACAAGTGATAATCCACATGAACTAGCGAAGAAGCCGCCGTCACAGCCGACTGACAAAGCCCGAGCAGCCCACGTTGCTCTCCAGACCCATCGGTCCAAATCCTTCTTACCGACCAATCCGTGCGCCGCAGCTTCTCACGCGTCTGCCAAGACCCGAGAGCGGTGTTCCTTCTGGGGCTCTTTTTGCGACGAAAGTGGTTCTCTACGGGCCTGTGGATGAAGTTTTAGTCCTCAGTAGTATGAGAGGAAGTACCACTTGGACTCTTTTTTTCTTTTACTCATTCAGGTTTATCCTCCCACAAGGTCAGCAAGGGGAAGGAAGAGCTTTCATACCAAACAAGCAGACGGTACGACAACCGTGCGACAACACATCCGGGCCATGTCTGCAAGGGAGCAACCTTCATCTGATCAACACCTTATCTTTCCCTGGAACTACTACTAATTAGGAGAGAGCAACAACCGCGTGGGTGAGAGCACAGACTGTCCAGGTCAATCTAGTAGAATCTAAGAAACATCAAGTTTAGTGGGATAGTATATTATAACTAAGATTAGTTAGGAGCTCATCATCGTCATCAAGCCACCACCGCCTTTGAATTGATCATGTGCAACCCGGTCAGCTGCTCCGTCATACTTTTTTTTAGCGAAGTAGCACTACTGTACGAAGTATACTACTGCTGCTGCTGTTGTTAACAGCTAGCCAATAAATGTAGATATTTTATCCCGATGAGGAAGGTCCTTGGAGCCACTACTTAGGTACCTGCTCACTAAGCCCCAGTACACACTAGACTATTACTAGTATACTAGTACTAAGTCCATAATAACGCATCTCAGCTGGGAAAAATAAAAAAATAATAAAAAAGTAAAACATCTCAGCAATGGCGCAATTCAAAGCGGGGTTGGCCGTCGTCCATCGTCCTTTTCCCCTCCATCCATCCGACATGCATGACCCCGACCTGCATGCCCAGGGATCCTGCATGTTGGTCAGGTATCTCCGCGGAAAGGACTTCCCTTTCTCGCTGTCTACATACTCTGTAGTAAATAGTAGTTCAATAGTAGTTGTGTTCTCATGGCAGTCATATTGGATGGTCATCATAACGTGACATTCCCTCATTCTATCATCAAGTATACTGTGAGGCGTACCAGGCAGCGTGTGAATGCAAGCTTTAGAATGATAACCCAAACGCTTTTCCGTCTAAAAAAAAAATTACCAAAACGGCTCTAAACCATCAAAGCTCCTGTCTCTAGAAAGAAAGGAAACAAAAAACGATCGCCATCTTCAAGGCGCCGATCCTGCCATCACTCGCTGTGCCATACGTCCTATAGAATCACTTGAGTCCTCCAGTTCCTCCATCTCGCGCTCACTCACCTCACGCGGCCCAATCCCTGCCAACCCCCAGACGCCAGGTCGGCGCCGGGCCAACAACTGCGCCGCCGTGCGTTCATCAGAATGCAAATGCGCTCCAGACTTGCGTAGCAGCAGCACGTGCTCCGTGAATCCTGCGTTGGCCGCCAGGAACAGCGGCGTCCGACCATTGCGGTTTCGCAAGTGCACGGAGCCACCCTGGAGCAGCAAGTATCGGAGAATCTCAACTGAGGGTGAAGTTGCTGCCAGGTGCTGTGGAGGTGACGTGGGTGTCAGCTTTGATTTTTTTTGTTTTTGTCTTATCTACAACTGGGGCATTGGGGTTGCCTTACAATAGGTGTGTTGCCCGAGTAGTCGGCGTCATTCAATAACCATTGGTGTTCTCGGGCCACAATCTCCTCCACGCGCTCGAGATCACCCTGCGCAATGGCGTATCCGAGCACCGTGAGGGACTGAACGCGCTCAGGGAGCGCCCCGTCCGGATGACGGAACACTGGCTGCGATACCTCGGTCAATTCGCCACGAAGAGATACGGACATTTTCTTCGCGACCCATTCTGGGGTGGAATCCGGAAGAGCAAGGAGATATGACATCTTGGTTAGTGCGGCTTCGGTGGTCAGGTCGAGTCCGGCGACGACTCCCGCACGAGAGAGACTCATGCCTGGGGCATAGACGGGGCTGACGCTTCCCGTCAGGCCTGGTTGACTGTGTCAGAAGATACTCTGGGTTGGGAACATACTTTCCAGGGCTTCACTTACATTGCGTGACGTTCACGATCACGATTCCTCGCTTGATAGCGGCGGCCAATACATTGGTCATGGCATTGTCTTGACCACTGGGTGCGTTACCGGCGCCAAACGTCTCCAACACTAAACCACGGAGCCCTTCCAGCTTCAGTACGGCGTCGACCATCTCCGGCTTGATACCAGGGAAGATACGCAGACACGCCACGTGGGTGGTGTCGAGGTTGGTTTGGATACGGAAGTGTTCCAGGCTCTTCGGTCGGTTGACCAGCTCCCAGTTCACGTTGGTCCGCATGGAGGTTGTCACCGCCAGCGGGGGGCAGTTCGGCGAGTCAAAGGCAGCGAAATCACTGGCTGCGACCTTGATCGACCGGTTGCCACGGAACAGTCGGTTGTTGAAATACAGACACACTTCGGGGATCATGAAATGGCCAGCCACAACCAGTGATCCGAGAAGGTTATCGGTGGCATCATTCTGCAACTCCAGCATGGGCGCTTGCGCTCCAGTCAGGATGACGGGCTTTCCGAGATTCTGCAGCATGAAGCTGAGCGCCGAGCATGTGTATGCGAGACTGTCTGTTCCGTGGAGGACAACGAAGCCATCGAAAAGTGTGTAGTTTCGTTCAACGGTGTGAGCGATCTGGGCCCAACCTTTCGCATCGATAGAACTGCTATCGAGGAGCTCTTCGAACTCGAAGACAGTGTACCGCACCCGTCGCCCATAGGCAGTCGGTGGTGTGCGGAGAGCGGGATGTCCTTTGATCTCTCCGGCTGAGTTGACCACCACATCCATCATGCTCGGATGCGAACCATCGTTGAAGGTCGGTACCCGGGCCAGACATTGCTCCTGGAATCCTCTGGCAGGAATGAATCCTGATGGGGACTGTCGCATACAGATTGTACCACCTGTCATGATGATGAGAACCCGAGACTCAGGGATGAGATCGTCCGGCTGCTGCTCAGCCAGCTCGGGCAAGGGGCCATTGACATCGAGAGCTGCCATGATGGAGAGCTGCGATAATGATCTCTAATTCTATGGCGTAGACGAGGCGCAACTGACACAAAAGAAAGTAGCGATGAAGTTGGCTGTGAAAGCAAGAATGCGGGGCCTCGAGTTTCAGGCCGCTCAGATTCGCCGAAACAGCCACAAACAGGGCTAGAAAGTAACTATCCAAGAAACGGCCTCCACAAGAAAAGGTTTTTGGGGTCGTGGAGCTCGCGACTCCTGAAAATAGCTCTCTCTGCGATAAAACAAGCCGAGTAGGTTTTCAAGCCCAGGGCAGAACGGGGTCAAGAGTTGGTTGGGCACACAAAGATAAGGTTAGCAGTTACCTAGCAAAACAACTATGGACCAGCTTCAAGAATCAGGAGAAAACAAGGGACGTCCCATGATCCTCGCCCCTCTCATATGGAACTACATAAGAACCAGACTAGACCTGGGATAATAGGCTACTTGATTTAAGACTTGGAGACACCCAACCCACATTGTCTCCGATTCACGGCTGCGGCATTACGTACAGAGACTGCGTTGGTGGTGCCAAGAAGCCGCCCCAGCGCAGGATTTTCTTCGTCGGCCACCCTCTCTTTTCGGGTGCGGTGGATTCCTCCGTCAACTTTAACCACTACCGCCTCCACTTCATGTTGGAGTAACTGTCTGGATCTGAGTCTGGGAGATCATTTCCCCTGGGGTTGATGGGAAGCAGATATGATTATGGCAAACATTGTATGTATGGATTGCAGTGGACTGGAAGTAGGCACGCAGCATCACTTCACGCGCTTCTCCCTTGCTAGACAATAACCATAGGTTTAGAGCATAAGCTCGACCTTGCGCAGAGTCTCTGAATAGTAGAGCCTCAAGTAACAACCCCATCATGTTCCGTGTCCTCCAGACAAGATCCCTAGCATGCAAACAGCTCCCTCACGTAAGTCGAGATCAGACAGTACTTCGCATCCTATCGTACACCTCCAGCTAAAAAGCATCAAAGGCCCTACGCAGCCTCACCACCATACATCCTCTCTACTCACCCAAACCCACACCACCAAATCCAATAAACCAACCTACCTACCACCCCGAAGACAGCGTAGAGAACCTAGAAGGCTACACTCCGGGAGGCTACCACCCGACATCCATCAACGACGAATTCTGCCACGGAAGATACAAAGTCATCCACAAACTAGGCTACGGCTTCTACTCAACCGTCTGGCTTGCCCGCGACAGACACAAAAACAAAACGTCGCATTAAAGATCGTAACCGCAGACTCTAGTAGTACAGAAAGAAGCCTCGAGTCGAAAATCCTCCAACACCTCCAAACCGGAGATGATAGCAGTAGCCACCCAGGCCGTGAATACATTTCTTCATCATTGCTCGATGAGTTCTCCTTCGATGGCCCCAACGGGCACCATATGTGTCTAGTTAGCGAAGTCGCTGGCTGCAGTATTGCCGAAGCCAAGGAGAATAGTCCCAGTTTGATGTTCCTCTTGGATGTAGCTAAAGCTATCGTTGCTTAGGTTGTCATGGGAGTGGATTATATGCATTCCCGGGGGGTAGGGCATGGAGGTAAGCACCTATATCTACACATCGTGTCGTTACTTAGTGATTGACTGACTGACCACCAACTAACTAACAAGATCTCCACACGCGTAATATCCTCCTCCTCCTCCAACCCACTAACTTCAACACCCTAAGTACAAACGATATATACAATAGTTTCGGCCCACCCTTCCAAGTCCCCATCTACCGGACCGACAACCACCCCATCCATCCACACGCACCCATCCACGCCATCATCCCCATGAACCTGCTCACCCCAGCTAACCAACTCTCACCCAGCAACATCAACATCAAAATAACCGACTTCGGCACATCCTACCTCTTCACTAACGCCCCTTCCCCAGAAACCCTACACACACCAACCATCCTCCTTCCCACCCCCCCGAAGCCATCTTCCACGATTCGATAACACCAGCGGCCGATATGTGGACCCTAGGCTGTACAATCTACGATATCCTCGGTGACCGACCACTATTCGAACCCTGGTCGGATAGTCCAGATGATGTTATCTGGGAGATGGTGAGTATGCTGGGTGGTGAGTTGCCGGAGAGATGGAGGCAGAGATCGGATTTTACGAGGTCCTTGATGAAGGCGGCGGGGACTGGGGGTCTGGGAAGGTCTTTGGATGAGAGATTATGGCAGATGGGAAGGGGGGAGACGTCTTCGACTTGTGAATTTCAGGAGTTGGAGATGGATTGTTTGAGGAGGTTGCTGGGGGGAATGCTGGTTTATGAGCCGGAGGGGAGGATGTCGGCGCGGGAGGTTTTGGAGTCGGGGTTTATGGTGGAGTGGGCGGGGATGGCGTTGGGGAGGTGAGATAGTACGGAGGGTCTCTGATCGGTTTCTGGGTGTGTATATTGAGGGATTGGTTTGTTGGGTAGGTGGGAAGGGACAGTACTCACGTTTTAATCTAGATGAGAGGATAGTTGACATCATTATCTATATGGGTCTATCCATGACATATCGTGAAATCACTTATGGTACACCATCATTATTGTAATGTGAGAAAGTACATGTTGCAGTATATGTAGAGAAGATAAGTCCCAAACACCTTACACCCGGCAAAAGCAATCAAGGTAATCATCCCACCATCTAGTCACTATCCAGAACAATAACCTCGGCCTCCGCATCCCCAACACTTTCCACACTCAGCACATCACCCGCATTCACCCCTGTGATAAACGCTCCATCACCCTCGCTCAGAACCGCCTCGTCCCGATGATCCAACCGGATCTGGGCCTTGCCGTTCTTCGTCATGGGCAAATGCACATAGACGTTCCTCTTCTTCTTGCGACTGACCACGTCCTCGCCAGCACCCACGGTCCACTGGAACTTCTGCCCGGGTTCAATGATGCCCGCACCCATCACAAAGTCCGCGTGAATTGGAATCGTATCTGGAATCTTAGGGACGGCGGCCTCCTCATCGGCCGGGGTTGCTTCGGGCCCGGCAGCCAGCGGGGAGAGGATCGGGACGAATGCTTTGCGCTTGGCGGCTTCGTCGAATGTGCGGGTGTGGTATTGGGGCTTGAGGCCATGTTTCCAGGGAAGAGCCCAAATTTGGAGGAAGTGGACGGGTTTGTTGGATTCGTTTTGTTCAGAGTGTGCGATTCCTGGAGTGGGTTGTGTTAGTTCGGTCAGGTCTTAAGGTAGTAGACTTCAATGCAAACAACGTACCTGTTCCACCAGTGGTGAATTGAACGTCGCCACGCTTCATGCGGTAGAATTGCTTGCCCTGGGCGCCTTCCGCACCCTTTTTGATCATGCTGTCGCGGTGCGTGAGCTCGCCGTTGAGGATGTAGCTGAAGATTTCGGCATCGCGGTGGGGGTGGGTCGGGAATCCATTACGGGCGGCTACACGATCCTCATTGAGAACGCGCAGACTGCCAAAGTTGTTGAAGCGGTGGTCATAGTAACTGGCAAAACTGAAGGTGTGGAAGCTCTTAAGCCAGCCGCCGTGTTCGGCGTACCCGCGCTCACTGGAGCGACGGGCGACAATGGAAGCGTGGGCAAGAGGCTTGGACATAACGGAATTGGTGGGAAGAATTGACTTGATGAGGAGCAGTATTAGAGGAATAAAGAATAGGAAGAGGTAGGTTGGTGTTGCAAGTTGCATTCTGAAAAAAGTATTTCGTTGTTGTCTAGATCTCTGATCGACTTTATACTCCTGGCCGGCGATCCGGGATTGGCTCGGGCGGGGCGCGGATGGGTAAGTAAGCATGGGGTAAGACTGACTAAGGGGCCCAACCAGCAAATGCCAGCGCCGTCCATCCCGGTTGCAAATCACTGACTGAGCATTTACAAAGTAGGTAGCTTCCGTTCTGCTGATAGTGGCTGAGCTTCACATTCCAAACGTTCCACCCCGCGCTGCTGGTGCTGAGCACGAGTCAGTCGATCATTCCATTTTCTTTGTTGATGATCGGTAAGATTTTATCACATTGATCGTGATTGGCTAAGATGCCAGTGTGTCATGATGTCATAATCGCTCTGGACGGTCAGCTTCAGAAAGAAAGGGACGGCTCCAGAGTTTGAGATTTGCTTATGGATCCTCCGTCTGGAATTTTCTCTCGTCAACCTTCCAGCTTCTACCCTCCTCGCGCTGCCAGAATGTCACAGTCGCCTCTCCCGTGTTCTCATCGGGCAATTCGACATGAACATCTGAAATGCGGCGCAGAGAAGGCAGGATTGTATCTGGATTACCCGCTTCTGGCAGGCTGAGGAGATCCAAGCTTTTTCCAACTGTAAAGCTTGCCTCGATATTCCACTCTTCATATGCAACTACCTCCTCCGCAATTCTAGCAGTGAGGGCGCCATTCCATATGCCTTCACGGTGAGGTGCCAATCGAAGCAACCCGATCGCGTGTCGTCGTATCTGAGGAATCCGGCACTTGATTGCAGTGTAATATAATGGCTGGATGAAGCCAATGTCCATCGTAAATGCCATCCCCAATGGGCAATTGAGAGATCCACTCGTCGGGAAATCTGGGTATGCGGTTCTGAGGGCTTGACACATGTCGATTGCCTCGCGGATAATAGAAATGAACCTGTCGGTTTGTAAGTCGAACGCCGTTTCGTCGTCCCATGGCGTGCAGGTTGTGGCCATGATCAAGGCCATGGTATGGTGCATCACGAGTAACCTTGTAGCCAATGTACTTTTAATCAAATCTTGAGCTGAAAATTCACCACGTGACGATCTATAAGCATCAAGCCATATTTCCAAGTCCTTTTCCAGGCGCCATTGAGACTCAAGATATTGCTCGTAGCCCCGAGTCGCGACACACATGCCCGTCTCGATGTGACGAGCCAATTCCACCAGACACTGTGCTCTTGCTAAGAGAACATCCAGATATTGTCTTGCTTGTTCGGTTGACTCAAATTTGTACGGTAAATGATGAGGTTGGATGTCATAGTCAAGGTTCGAGTATTTTGTCCCATGTCCAAGCAGAGCATAGTGTACTCCCAGTCTGCTAAAGGCCTCAATAACATCATCCTCATTTGTTTGCGACGAAGTCCTTATCATAATCTTTCCGGTCTTAGAGGTTCCGGAGAGTTTCTGAATCTCCTTCACCAGCTTCAGCCCGTGCTGTAGATGAGCATGACTCGTTCGGTATTGGCCTCGCATCAGTTCGAGAGTAACAAATAGCATGCAAGTAATGAGGGCAACTATCACACTCTGCGGTCGTTGGCTGTGGCGTCTTATTTCAGCATGGAGACAGCCAATAGCTTTATTGTAGTGTTGAAGAGTAAACTTCTCATGCTCGCTTAGCTGGCTCGCCATTGTAGTACCCTTGTCGCTCCTCTGAGCCCTATATCTATGCGTAGAAGCCAATGCCATAACAGCATGTCGCACTGCTGGCTCTTGAGAAAGTGCTTGAACAACTGTCCTGCCCCAGAACTGGGAAGAAAACACTCCTCCGATCTTGGAAATGGCACAGTGGACGAACCATTCCACACATTTCTGTTCAGCACATGCGGCATGCGGAATTGGTACTGGTGCATTGTAACCAGACAGGGGAGACTGGAAGACCCTCGGTACGCCAGGATTACCGCCATGGGTGGCTTTTCTTCCTTCGCTCCAAATTCCATAGCCATCGCAAACGCGGCCGGTTGACACGCACCTCTTGCACGCCGGTCGACCCTCGTCGCATTTGACTCGACGAATCCTGTGTATAGAATAAGCACTATATCAGGTAGCGTAACAAGGCAGCCGCTTGACTCACTTGCATGTCCGACAGCCAGTTTTGACTTTAGGTTTGCTCGCACGGCGCTTCTTCTCGGATTCCATTTCAGCGCTCAGCAACTGGTTCGACTGTTCGCGGATTGCCTTGGTACTTATGAAAAAGCTTGCGCTATGCATGTTAGTCACAGGCTTAGTCGAGGAAAAGTTACAGCGGCAAAAGAAAGCAAGAGTAATCGAGAATGAGATAGGACAAGGAGAATGAGTTGCTGACAGGCTGCCCGCTGCCTTGAGGCCGACCCGCTAACCCTGTCTCTCATTGGTCCGCTCGTAAAATTTCCATTCGGATTGGTCGCTTAAGACCCACTTTTACAGAAGCCCGTGCTCTTGCTCTCCCTCATTTTAGTCGCTTCGTCTTCATCTTCTTTTTCAATTCAACGGTGCAATGCCCAATTAGTCCGGTCGCTCACAGCTGTCATTACTAAAAACTATTGCTACGAAACTAATGCAGGTGAAGTAGCAGCTAATCATCTCTGACAACTCTATTCTGAATGTACCCAGGGGGCTTTGCGGTGACCGACATCCAGTCCAACTCATTGATGCATGCCTGTTCCACAGCATAATGGAGCTGGGTCATTTTCAAATTCTTTGAACCTATTCTTTTAACCTGAGGTCTTTCTCTTCTTACCTCCTAGGTATCTTTGAATTTCTCACGCGGTCAAAGCGGCTGTACTGATGCCCGAGATCCCACGCTCGCCTTGCAGACAGTTTGAACCTCCAGAGCTGAAGCTCTCTGGAATTTCTCCTAGGTCAGAACTCCTTTCAAAACCTGCCATACCATATGTCATCATATGCTATACTATCATCGATCGTGGCAGTAATTGATGATAGCGATTATGCCTATATACTGCCCATGGAGTGAACTGGCCCTGGGAAATCAGACCAGTGGCTGCTCTATATAGCAGTCAATACTCTGGTATACAAGTGCGCTAGGATAAGCTTCTTGACAAGCTTTAGTGGGCCTGAAGCTGGTCAGATATGCTGAGAGTCGAAGGTAGTTCATGCCTACATCATATACCTATCTACGTCTTAACAGTCATTATTTGATGCAAGACTGTCCCATGTATCGACGTCCATGTTTGTCTTGTAATACCTTGGACTTTTGATCTGACAAGGTGTCCATTTCAGAAGTTAGAGTCGCAATGAATGGTCGGATATATCATGTACAAAATGATCGATAGGCCGAGGTTCACCGTGAAAGGAGCTCACATGTCGGTTAGCTGCAAGAACCGGCCTATTGGGTGGATGTCACTACGCTCGAGCAATCATCGGGCTGCATCAATTTTATGGCGTGACGCACCAACTTTACTAGATAATCCTGTCGGGCCATTCAGCTTACACCGCCGGCAATGTTCCTGGTCATAGTGGCTGGCGTAGCCACGGTTAGCCATCCCAAAGTACTGGAACCGGAGCTTGGAACGAATCGGTTGACGGTTTAGTGTGCTTGGAGTAAATGCCAGTAAGAATGCCAGTTGTCTTTGTTAAGGTACTTAATTTCCCAATAAATTGCCTTATCCGCGTCATCCGTTTGCCTAGTGGCTCAGGACAATATTACGCTTATTCTATAGGGTCGGCTGGATGCGACACTTTCATTTAGCTTGCCACGTGGTAGATAAAGTCCCCTGGAAGCGAGCCCAAACTGGCGTGCATTGATCGGTCTTATCTCTTATGTCTGTGGTCTTTATTAAAGCCCTTGCCGCATGCATTTGTCTCTAATCTCCCGTTTCTTTGTACGGAAAGAAGTGGCTGCGTTCTCAAGATGGCTCAGTGGGAAGGTCTGATCGCTGACAAACTAAGGGACCGTGCATCCAAAATCCCTCCTGAATGGGTTCTTCCCGAGACAATTATAAACCAGATTACCCAGGATGCCAACATAAGTGCTTTCGACATCCTTAGACATCATGGTTTGCTGTCAAGGGAAGAGGTGGCTATCACAGAGTCCTATGACGCTCAAAGCCTTCACCAGGATATTATCGAAGGCCGTTTGACCTCACTCCAGGTTTGCAAGGCCTTTTGTAAGAGAGCTGCTATTGCACAACAGTTGGTATCTATGTATAATTCAATCATATCGTGATCGGCTCAGCTAATGCAATTACCCAGACAAACTGCGCGACTGAGATCCTTTTTGCCGAGGCGTTCAAGCGAGCAGAGTTTCTTGATGGATATCTGGCCAAGTATGGAAGGCCTTATGGACCCTTTCACGGTCTTCCTATAAGTTTGAAGGTAAGCCTGCGGTCCCAGTCGCAAATCATCTCACTTGAGTTGGCGATTATTGGAGCCGATGCCCTTAATAGCGCCATTGCCACGAATCTCACCATGCAACAGGACAGCTTTAATATCAAGGGACAGGCTGCAACAATTGGCTTTGTTTCTTTTCTGGGGAAGCCAGTTGCAGCTGAAAATTCGCCCCTAGTTGATATCCTCCTTGCTAACGGCGCCATCTTGTACATCAAGACGAATATTCCACAGACACTGTTGGTACGGAGTTGCCGTTTCTTTTGTCTCGCGGATCTCTGCTGACACTTGGTCTACTTGAAGACCATGGATAGCGTCAACAATATTTTTGGAAGAACATTGAACCCTCATAAGCTTTGCCTCAGTGCAGGTGGGAGTAGTGGGGGTGAAGGTGCTTTGGTGGCCTTCCGAGGTTCCATACTAGGAGTAGGCACAGACGTCGGAGGATCCATTCGTGCACCGAGTCTCTGCAATGGCACATATGGGTTCAAGCCCACAGCTGATCGCATACCTCACGGGGGAGTTGAATTAGGGGACAGGCCGGGGACACCAGGGCTCGTCTCCGCAGTTGGACCACTCGCCAACAGTGCATCAGATCTGACATTCTTCTGTAAGACAATACTCTCGTCAGAACCATGGCGCTATGATTCCACCGCATTTGGGACGGCATGGCGGCACGTTCCCCCAAAGAAGAAGCTAAGCATTGGGGTTTATATGGGGGACGAGCATTTCCCATTATTTCCCCCTGTCAAACGGGCACTTTCCTCCGCACGGGCTGCGCTTGAAAATGCCGGTCATAGTGTCCATCTTGTGGCCAATGCTCCCTCCTTCCAGGATGGTCTAAAGCTGGCGGCACGGTACTTTTTGTTTGATACCAAGCAGACCCTTCTGCAGCACGTTTTGGACGGGAATGAGCAACCAATCAAAGCATTGGAGTATGCCTCTCCAGCTGCTCTAGCTGGATTACAAAATTCTGCACTGACGTTAGATGATGTCTGGGACGCCAATGCTTCCCTTATGGAGTACCGGGAGAAGATGGCTGAAGTTTGGAAACAACATAATCTGGACGTCCTCATTTGCCCGGGTCACTGGTCAACTGCAGGCCCACATGATACATATGGGCCGCCGGTATATACAGTTATTTGGAACTTGTTGAATGTAAGGGAACTCAAACATAAATCTGCTCTGATGCATCGTGCTGATGCAGGATATTTTAGTTTCCCGCGAGCGTTATTCCATATCTGAAGGCTGATAAGTCTCTGGATTCGGAGGTATGCAAGAATTGTAAGTCTTTTCGTTGACCTAGCCATGAGTGTCAGCTACTTATTGCGACTATAGATGATCCTGATGCAGTAGACGGGGCACCTACTGCTATCCAAGTTGTTGGGTGGAGGTTGCAAGACGAGGAAGTCCTGATGGCTACTGAGGTTATTGACAAGGCTCTTCGATCGGACCTACGGTACCGTCCAAGTCTATGACCTGACGAAAGCTTCCTCAATTTGCTACATTTTTGTTCAGTTCGAGAGACAAGAAACATCTTAGTTCACGCGGCTATGTTCGCTACGAGCACATATTCTGCGTGATGGAGAACACAGTCTATGTACAGAAGTGAAAATGTTTTGTTCATGGATGACTGTAGGCAGGGCCATCATTTGGGATATCTGCTTTCGTGGCATTTTCTATATTATCTTATTTACTTCCCGTTAGCTATAGTTTGCATACTAAACAGAAACGAATTACGAATGCTCCCTTACCTATCATACTCAACGTACTCAACGGAGATAACCAGACCTGAGCCAGACGCAGATCAGACCCTGCACGGCAGGCGATCAGTATAGACAACACTAGGAACAGAATCTTGAGAAGGTCACACAAGGACCCATTAGCGCTACGCGAAGCCTGAGGAAGAGGATAAAAGCCGGAACTGATAGGTCCGGTTGTCGGGCAACGCTATAAGCCATCCACTTCAGTATGTAGGAACGGTGAATGACATCACGGATAAGAATGATCCGTTCCGAGATGGAGTGTTAGTTTCACAAGTTTCCTACTATCTATACAAAACTTTCCTCTTTGTTGTTTCTGAGGAACGCGTGGGTGCAGGTGCTGCAGTCAACGTCGTGTTCTGAGGTTGTGGTTGGTGTGCTTGCACGCGAACTGGGCTGATACAACGAACCCATATTCTCTCTGCTCTTCGGCGCGCGAATCTTCAATATTAACAATCATCTACTATCGCTCAAGCGAATAATCACTCTCAAAGGTGCTTCTCATCACGCCGGCTACCTCACAGGTGCTAACGCGTTCCTTAGTGAAAAGTCAATAACCAGTCAAGATGGCTGAAAATAATAAGCAAAACCCGGACACATCTGATGAGGGTTTATATGATTTGTGAGCTACATCATTCTCACAATATACTTGGTTGGTTGTTTCTATTCATTGACTAACGGATCCAATACTAGCATGGTCCCTTTGTGCCCTGGTCCCTATGTTACTATTCAAGTCGGTGACAAAGGGGCCAAGTACAAAGTATCCCGTCCTCTTCTCTGCAGACACTCTGCTTATTTCAGAGCAATGTTCGAAAGCTGTTTCAAAGAGGGCAATGAGCAAGCAGTGACCATGCACAAGATCAGAGGCGTTGTCACTGAGCGTAGCCTCCTCATGCTGCTCCAGTGGCTATACCTCAATCGTATCGAGTTTCCGTCGCAGATTCAAGGAAGATGCATCAATGCGTACATCGAACTGGCTCGATTGGCGGACATGTGGGCTATCACAGGCATGGAACAACTTCTGGCTGATAAGATCAAGGCCATCATTACCAGCTCTATTCCCCGAGTTAACCTATCATGTGTCGGAGGAGAAAACGGAAAGGTTCGTCACCTGACTTCTAGCCATGTCAAGTCGGCCTCGATGTTGTTCAAGGGTCATCCAGTCCGCTCTCTTATCGCTGAGGCTTCGGCTGGTGCCTTCATTCTCATGGAGAATTTCAAGTTCGCCAGAGAGCTTCGTGAAAATTCCAATTATGCTGGTGATCTGCTCGACGAACTGAAGGATTTGATCAAAGGGCAGGTCAAGGATAAGAGAGTCATCACTCCCTACACCCTTCATTATTGGAAGAATTCTAGTGCTTGATTGGGTGGATGATAGCTCTTAGGAAGCACGAGGAGGTTTTATTTGAATATGGCTGGAATGCACTGTCACGGCTTAGCGCGGTCAGCAGGGGTAAGGATATCTGCCTGTTCTATGTGGAAGCTTCTTCGTGTTCCTTTTCTTCTATCCTCTCATTTGTTTTTTCATCCAAGCAGCAACTAGTCCGCTGGAATTTTGACTGATCTGGGAATCTTGTCCTGGTGGAGTCACTCTTTTGTGTATGCAGCTAAGTACGTGCCGCTGTTTCTTAGCTCAGGATAGCGACATGGTGATATTTAGGTAGTCATAGTCACATTAGCGGGCTTAATGAGGCTAATGGAATATTAAATTATGAATTGAATTGAATTGAATTCTCTAAATTCTATAGTGCAATTGGCAAAGCGACTGCAAAGCCGTGATAGACTTCTACAAAGTCACGCACCAGACGTGCCCGACTCGGAGGAGAATTGAACAGGGACATGCTTTCAGGAGGCCTTAGAACACGAGAAATTATGCCGGAGGGTCAGTTTACCCCACTACTTCCAGCACCAAACGAACCATGGATTTGATAGCATAGCTTCGCTATTCTAGGCAGCTGTCAGAAACAATCCCAATATAAAGAAAAGGGGGCTTTGCAGGCTGCTTTTCGGATTCGAAAATGCAAATCGACATACACATAGCAGAAAACAATCGGTGAAATTTTCCTTTTCTTTCAAGCCACAAACACAATAGCGCGCTTGGGCTTCGTAATGGCTTTGGAGGCGTATAGGGCAAAAGTGCGGCCTAGAATGTTCTGAGGAGACGATGTTATGGCCAGGAACGGCCTAGCTATGTTTGCGGGGGTCACATGGAAGGAGAGGTTTTTGCTCCTTCTGTTTTGTACTTCGGATTCTACTTTCCCCTCCGTTGTGGATTTACAGGCTTTTGTCTTCATTGTCCTTGGAATACGTTCCATGGGGCTTCGTTTCACAATGAAACTACGATGTGGAATATCTCGACTATATTTTAAAATTTTTTGAAATTGATCTATACCGACTCTATATCACCGGGGTATCGTCTATATACAGATGCTTCTTTTTTTTCCGTCATGATGAAGATCCCAGTCTCGCTAGGTGTCTTCATGTGGTTTCATAACCCATGATTGTGCCTTTGTTTCGTTTGAAGCACTCATGACATGGGAATAAGGGGAGGTGTAGAGTATTTGATGATCCAGCGTCGCTTTACTCGGCACTTTCTCCTTCCACGCAACTCTGGCTGCCTCGGAACGACTTCCTTCCTCGTGCAAACCAGTCAGCCAGGACAATGAAGACAACGACACCATAAACGGCCGAGACATAGTTCATATCTGCAGCCCGGTTAGTCACTCCATTCATCAATGTTGGACATGAATACTTACTTCCTGTTGTGACTGGCATAGTCGAAGGGAACGAGTACATAACAAGACAGAAGAGAGTCCATGCCAGGGTGACATAGTTCGCAGCAAGACCCCATTTGCCCAGCCAGAATGGGCCGTGCTTGATGTTGTCACGACCAACATACAAAAGGCAGATGACGGGGATAGAGTACGAGATGTACAGAAGCGAGATGCATGCCGTGACCATACTGTTGAAAGCGGTAGAGGATCCCAGGTAGAGCAAGCCGAGAACAGCAACAATGAATGCGCTGGCGTTGTGGGCGTGCAAGGGGACATCCAAAGTCGTATTGACCTTGGAGAGCAGTTGGTGTCCAGGCATACCGCGATCACGAGCGAAAGCCCAGGCAAGACGTGACTGCCAAGTGTGGCAGGCAATCAGGCAACCCATACCCGTCACCACTAGGAGAGTTTCCAGAACAATTGCACCTGCCCTGTTCTTCAGAGCTTGGTAGTACAGTTCCAAGATTGGCACTCCTGTGGCGGTGTTCAAAAGTGCATCAAGGTCGTTGAGACTGAAGAACATCGCGATACAGTAGGTCCAGGAGGTAACGAAACCGATGCCGACGGTGGCCATGATCGCAACGGGAATATTCTTCTCGGGCTGCGGCACCTCTTCGGCAAGATGAGTGGCCGAATCCAAGCAGGCAAAGATCCAGTTCGGGTTAATCAACCCGACAATGAAAGCGATTCCATCCGATTTCCAACCAGTGGAGTTGACGAAATGCCCAAAAACATAGGATCCGCTGGCATGCGGGTTGGCGCAAGCCGGAACAACGATAAGGATGACCAGGAAAGAAAGCAACGAGATGTACAGCGTTGCTTTTGCCACAGCAGGCAGGGTTTTGCCCCAACAGTTGAAAAGGTAGCAGAAGAAGTTGATGAGCTGGTATGCCACTACCGTATGCCAGGCTTTGGGAACACTATGGTTGGAGTCAGCACTACGGACCTAGAGCGGAAGACACTTCCTCTCAGAGAGCAAATATGGGATTTGGAAGCATACAATGACGGGTGGCCAAGTTGCCACATTCCCACAACACCAGATCCAAGACTGAGCGCAACACTGGCACTCGCGAAAATGGCACCAGCATATCCAAACCAGCCGGTAAGATAAGAGAAAAACCGGGCATATTTCCTCGGAGCAAGCTCGTTCGCCCAGAAATATTGCCCACCGGCATTGGGCATGGAGCTAGCCAATTCCGAGAGGGAGGCAGCGACACAAGTCGAGATAAAGGTGATCCAGAGCAAGCCGTAAACGATGAGAACAGTACCTCCAGAGCTGATACCGGTGATCAAGGAAGCCGAGATACCGAACCAAGAGTTTGACATACAGAACGCAATGCCGACCAGTGAGAGGAGGGAGAAATTGCGCTGCAGGTCCTGCGTGTAACCCATCTCAGCCAGCTTGAGCGCATCTGCATCGTCAGATCCAGACGCATTCTCGCCGGTCGAGGCCTGGTTAACGCTCAACTTCTTTTCTATATCGAGACCACTCATTGTTCCAGACAATTATGGTAAGAGTCAGCGTTCAATGACAAACGTTGTGAAAGACGGATTTGGCGCAAAGGGCAATCGAAGGTCGCTAGGCTAGACTGCCGTGGCTGCAGGGTAATCGCGTAGGAGGTCCTCGGGTCTAAATCGCTTAGATCAGGGCCTGTTGCATAAGGGCTTAATTTCTCGGAGACGCTCGGCAATATGTTGCTGTTGGACAGTTTGGCTGCGGTGGCACACGTTTCGTGGGATTCGGATGTCGCAAATGGGTGTCGAAAACCGTTGTTAAAGTCGCAAGGAGGGCAGATCAACTTGTCGCAGGAGGGCTGAGAGGTTGTACCCGACGATACGGCGATACAAGGATACAAAACGCCCGAAGCAATCGGATTTACAGAAGTCAATCTGTGTTTCGCTGGGTGTGCTTTGAGCTATCAACAAAAGCGGATTGGTGTGGAACAGGACAGCCAATGCGGAGGATGATGAAGCACTAGACCTTCGCCGCGAAGCTCGCAGAGAAGGACAGTTGCAAGAGGAGAGGAACAAGAAGGGTAGGAGGAGAGATGGAGGAAGAGAGTGTTCGAAGTTGTTATGAGGGTTGAGCCAAATTGGGATGCGTGAGAGTATTTAAGATCTAAGAAGATCTTTTTCTTTTTCTCTTTTTCGCTCTTTTCCCCCTCCTTCATCTTCGAATCAAGCCTCCTTCGGCGTACCCACCAGTCTTACGACGGAAGGGTTCCCCATATCCTGTTTGCTTCTGTTCGATGACGCTCCCCCATCTTCTGCCACTCCAGCAGTGATACTAACCATAACGGACATAGTTATGCAGACGCAGCCAAATCTCGTGGTTCCGATTCGTGTTTCGACCGCCTCATATCGTCATTAGAGGGTCTGTCCGGCCGGGAAATTAAGGTAGAGCGCTCAACAACCAACACATTGAGACCTCTAGTCAATTAGTGGCCCTTTTCTTACCAAAAGGCTCCTGTGGTACTGGTGCTGCCGTTGGTGGAACTGCGCTTGAGGTTCGGTGCCGCAGACCATCGAGGGCTTTCGTTGGCTACTCGCCGCTGCAGGGAGTGGCGGGCCCCCCACTTGGTGCCGTTGGTGGGCTTGGGTTCCGACAGCAGATTTTTACCAGACTGACTTCCTCTGGACACAGGACACTTCTACGAATCGCACGTTTCTGTGCCTGTGTGCCGGTGGAAAGGCAGCTCCGCTTACGGAGCTTCGTATCCTTTCTTTTCATCTCCTAGTATTATCGCACTCGTCATACCGCCCGCAGGGATGAGCGTGTGCAGAAACCGCGCACCATTTAGGCCAGTCGGAGTTATTACCCCTTGGGCCCTTAGCAGTCTGCCAGGACCGGGCCGAGCTTAAGGAAAAGTTTCTCAATAACCATCACCAAATCCTCTGGAGACGAAAACCCCTTCTGGCAATCACATCCTGAACTTTCTTTATCGTGACATCAACCCCAATTTGCCAAGTAGCAAAGGTCAAGAAAAACCTGGGGTTATTGAGTATAATTCTACATCACCATACACTGAGGCAAAGAATGAATCGGATCGGAATCCTCCGGTCTTCTCGTTGGGGCTGTATCCGAACTTTCTCCAGCGGACCAGCTTCGACAGTCTTTCGCTACTAATACTGTCTGGGTTAGCTCGATTGGCTCGCACCCGGAGCCACGCAGTGGATCTCTATTCCAATCTGAGCCTCTCATTCGCAAGCAGTGGTCGTCTAAGAGCACGAGAGGAGAAACATTTGACTAAGAGAATTCACCGGCCGACCTTTGTGAATCGAGGCATTTTCTTGGTACTCTTCTCGGTCGAATAGGAACGGCAAGTTGGCCGCTACCTAGTGTACCTAAAGTGCCCGATTGAAGGACGCTAGATTAGTATCAAACCCGGGCGACCCGACACGTCGTATGGCGTACGGAGTAATCAGTAATCCCTCCTTCAGAGACTCTGCTTCTTCCTGTGCAGTTGGTTGCACTGCAAATATATATGCTAGAAATAAGAAGTTCTAACTGGTGACCGATGTGATGACTTAACGTGGGAGCAGATGCATGCACGACATCAGGGACCTCAGCCACGGAATCCTCCCGCAGCTAAAGCTGCCTGGGACACACCTATCGTTAAGTTTCCTTCTTAGGGCCAGCAATCGTTGCCTCTCCGAGCAGACTAGGCCATTAAGTTTCCGGTGCCCGTTTTACAATAATGCCTGACCCGACGATCGTTACCCTGCACCCTAAGCATCTGACTTCACAAAACGATGAACAGCCACTTAGTTGAAACATTAACTAAGCGGCATGTTAGAAAAGTTTTTATGCACCATTCCGATCTTCCGAGACGTCCATCCAACACATGATGCCTGTGTACGCCGCACAGCGG